TTGTCCCTGTGCGGAGCTAACTTTGGACGATGCCACAGTGTCCCCTGACCCCCCCGTCTCAGTCTCCAGAATCCATGCTGCAATGGTCTATGTGCCGGGGGGCTAGAGTCAGTCTATATTATCTGGTGTAATTCTCCTGTCTTATCTGGTGTCCTGTGTGATCTTAGATATGCTCCCTCTAATTCTCCCATCTCTCTCTCTCTCTCCCCTCCCGGAGGACCTGAGCCCTTGGACCATGACTTAGGACTACTTGGCCTGACGACACCTGGCGGTCCCCGTACCTGGCCCACCTGTTCGTGCTGCTGACCCAGTTTCTGCTGTCCTGCCTGCAGCCATGGAACCCTGACCTGTTCACCCGAACCCCCCCCCGACCTTTAAATATCCGGCTATGAAAAGCCAACTCCCGAGGTGCTGACCTCTTGCACCCACTACAACCACTGTAATTATTATTTGATCCTGCTTGTCTTCTATGAACGTTTGAACATCTTGAAGAATGTGATGAATAATTTGGAAATTGAGGAAGTTGAGGAGACTAAACTGCTTGGTGTAACCCTTGATTGTAAACTGTCATGGTCCAAACATATTAATGCAACAGTTTCTAAGATGGCGAGAAGTCTGTCCGTAATAAAGTGCTGGTCTGCTTTCTTGACATTGCTATCAACAAAACAAGTCCTACAGGCCCTAGTTTTGTTGCACTTGGACTACTGCCCAGAAATATGGTCAAGTGCCACAAAGATGGACATAGGAAAATTACAGTTGGTCCAGAACAGACCAGCACGGCTGGCCCTTAAATGTAAACGGCAAGCTAACATCAATGACATGCATGTCAATCTCTCCTGGCTCAAAGTGGAGGAGAGATTGACTGCATCAATACTTCTCATTGTGAGAGGTATTGACTCTGGAAATCGCACAGTACTACATAGAGCCATGACTACATGGAACTCTATTCCACATCAAGTAACTCATGCAAGCAGTAAAATCAGATAAAAAAAACAGATAAAACTACACCTTATTGAACAATGCGGAATGTGAGGAGACACACACTCACAGGCATACACATGCATACGCACACACACGCCAGCACACACACTCTACACACACATAATGTATGTATGGTGGTATTATAAATGTTGTATTGTAGATATGTAGTGGTGTAATAATGTTATATGAACTGTATTTTTGCCTTACTTTGTTTGGACCTCAGGAAGAGTGGCTGCTGCCTTGGCAGCAGCTGATGGGATCCTTAATAAATACAAATACAGAAATAATTGATCAAAAGTCGACACTGATTGTGAATACTAAATGACTGGAAAATCCTGCCCAAGATTTTGTCCAAGATCTACAGTTAATAAAAAAAACACCACAGTCAGTCAGCAACATCATTTTATTTACAGAGCAGGTTACCTTTTGATGATGATATGTCATAAATACAGTGAGGGAAAAAAGTATTTGATCCCCTGCTGATTTTGTACATTTGCCTACTGACAAAGAAATTATCAGTCTATAATTTTAATGGTAGGTTTATTTGAACAGTGAGAGACAGAATAACAACACAAAAATCAGAAAATCGCATGTCAAAAATGTTATAAAGTGATTTGCATTTTAATGAGGGAAATAAGTATTTGACCCCCTCTCAATCAGAAAGATTTCTGGCTCCCAGGTGTCGTTTATACAGGTAACGAACTGAGATTAGGAGCACACTCTTAAAGGGAGTGCTCCTAATCTCAGTTTGTTACCTGTATAAAAGACACCTGTCCACAGAAGCAATCAATCAATCAGATTCCAAACTCTCCACCATGGCCAAGACCAAAGAGCTCTCCAAGGATGTCAGGGACAAGACTGTAGACCTACACAAGGCTGGAATGGGCTACAAGACCATCACCAAGCAGCTTGGTGAGAAGGTGACAACAGTTGGTGCGATTATTCTCAAATGGAAGAAACACAAAAGAACTGTCAATCTCCCTCGGCCTGGGGCTCCATGCAAGATCTCACCTCGTGGAGTTGCAATGATCATGAGAACGGTGAGGAATCAGCCCAGAACTACACGGGAGGATCTTGTCAATGATCTCAAGGCAGCTGGGACCATAGTCACCAAGAAAACAATTGGTAACACACTACGCCGTGAAGGACTGAAATCCTGCAGCGCCCGCAAGGTCCCCCTGCTCAAGAAAGCACATATACAGGCTCGTCTGAAGTTTGCCAATGAACATCTTAATGATTCAGAGGAGAACTGGGTGAAAGTGTTGTGGTCAGATGGGACCAAAATCGAGCTCTTTGGCATCAACTCAACTCACCGTGTTTGGAGGGGGAGGAATGCTGCCTATGACCCCAAGAACACCATCCCCACCGTCAAACATGGAGGTGGAAACATTACGCTTTGGGGGTGTTTTTCGGCTAAGGGCACAGGACAACTTCACCGCATCAAAGAGACGATGGACGGGGCCATGTACCGTCAAATCTTGGGTGAGAACCTCCTTCCCTCAGCCAGGGCATTGAACATGGGTCGTGGATGGGTATTCCAGCATGACAATGACCCAAAACACACGGCCAAGGCAACAAAGGAGTGGCTCAAGAAGAAGCACATTAAGGTCCTGGAGTGGCCTAGCCAGTCTCCAGACCTTAATCCCATAGAAAATCTGTGGAGGGCGCTGAAGGTTCGAGTTGCCTAACGTCAGCCTCGAAACCTTAATGTCTTGGAAAAAATCTGCAAAGAGGAGTGGGACAAAATCCCTCCTGAGATGTGTGCAAACCTGGTTGCCAACTACAAGAAACGTCTGACCTCTGTGATTGCCAACAAGGGTTTTGCCACCAAGTACTAAGTAATGTTTTGCAGAGGGGTCAAATACTTATTTCCCTCATTAAAATGCAAATCAATTTATAACATTTTATATGCGTTTTTCTGGATTTGTTTGTTGTTATTCTGTCTCTCACTGTTCAAATAAACCTACCATTAAAATTATAGACTGATCATGTCTTTGTCAGTGGGCAAACGTACAAAATCAGCAGGGGATCAAATACTTTTTTCCCTCATTGTAGGTCTACAGACTGACACAGAGTGCATTCGGAAAGTATTAGACCCCTTGACTTTTCCACATTTTGTTACGTTACAGCCTTATTCTCAAATGGATTAAATGTTTTTTTCCCTCATCAATCTATATATATAATACCCCATAATGACAAAGCAAAACAGGTTTTTAGAAATATCACATTTACAGAAGTATTCAGACCCTTTACTCAGTACTTTGTTGAAGCACCTTTAGCAGGGATTAAAGCCTAGAGTCTTCTTGGGCATGATGCTACGAGCTTGGCACACCTGTATTTGGGGAGTTTCTCCCATTCTTATCTGCAGATCCTCTCAAGCTCTGTCAGGTTGGATGGGGAGCGTCGCTGCACAGCTATTTCCAGGTCTCTCCAGAGATGTTCGATCGGGTTCAGGTCCGGGCTCTGGCTGGGCCACTCAAGAACATTCAGAGACTTGTCCCGAAGCCACTCCTGCTTTGTCTTGGCTAAGTGCTTAGGGTCGTTGTCCTGTTGGAAGGTGAACTTTCTCCCCAGTCTGAGGTCCTGAGCGCTCTGGAGCAGGTTTTCATCAAGTATCTGTCTGTACTTCGCTCCGTTCATCTTTCCCTTGATCCTGACTAGTCTCCCAGTCCCTTCCGCTGAAAAACATGCCCACAGCATGATGCTGCCACCATCATGATTCACCATAAGGATGGTGCCAGGTTTCCTCCAGACACTTGGCATTCAGGCCAAAGAGTTCAATCTTGGTTTCATCAGATGAGAGAATCTTGTTTCTCATGGTCTGCGAGTACTTTAGCTGCCTTTTGGCAAACTCCAAGCAGGCTGTCATGTTCCTTTTACTGAGGAGTGGCTTCTGTCTGGCCACTCTACCATAAATGCCTGATTGCTGAAGTGCTGCAGAGATGGTTGTACTTCTGGAAGGTTCTCCCATCTCCACAGAGGAACTCTGGAGCTCTGTCAGAGTGACAATTGGGTTCTTGGTCACCTCCTTGACCAAGGCCCTTCTCCCCTGATTGCTCAGTTTGGCCGGGCGGCCAGCTCTAGGAAGAGTCTTGGTGGTTCCAAACTTCTTCCATTTAAGAATGATGGAGGCCACTGTGTTCTTGGGGACCTTCAATGCTGCAGACATTTTTTGGTACCCTTCCCCAGATCTGTGCCTCGACACAATCCTATCTCTGAGCTCTACGGACAATTCCTTCGACCTCATGGCTTGGTTTTTGCTCTGACATGCACTGTCAACTGTGGGACCTTATATAGACAGGTTTGTGCCTTTCCCAATCATGTCCAATCAATTGAACTTACCACAGGTGGACTTCTCAAGGATGATCAATGGAAACAGGATGCACCTGAGCTCAATTTCAAGTCTTATAGCAAAGGGTCTGAATACTTATGTAAAGAAGTTTAATAATTTATTTTATTTTGTACATTTGCAAAAATTTCAAAAAAACTGTTTTCGGTTTGTCATTATGGGGTACTGTGTGTAGACTGATGAGGAACATTTTTCATTTAATCCATATTAGAATAAGGCTGTAACGTAACAAAATGAGGAAAAAGTAAAGGGGTCTGAATACTTTCCGAATGCACTGTAGTGTACAACAAAACACTACAGAGTCAAAACCTTGAGAGCAACCAGACTCAGAGGGGAGGGCCTTCCTCCTCTGGCTGTGCCATAAAGAGCACTGCAGTAGTTAGAGATGTTATCTTAACAGCATCAGAAGAGACATCCATGGATGGAGTAATTTCATACAGTAAGCAGAATGCTGGAAGGGTTGTGACGTTGGCATTTTCAGCCCATTTCATTAAAAACTCCATGAGTTCCATATGGAATGTTGACTGGAACCTATGCCCGGCCCAGAAGGTCTTGGCATCCAGAACCAGCAGGAAAATGCTTTTCTCCTGGAAACAGAAATATAGAGAGGTTTGTACAATGTTATGTCAAATGTAATAAATTGATGGTGAAAATTCATTTTTGTTGTTGTTTAGTTTTTGTTGTTGTTTACCGTTCTGGGTGTGACGATGACGGACATGACCACACCATCGTGCTCCTCTGTTGCTTTGGGTGCAGAAACAAACACAGGTTCAGATGGGAACCGACCAGGGTGGCACCACGCCTACACAAAGAAAATGTAAATGCATTATGCCCTTAACATGTACGTTTCTTGGTCTCCAGATTCATCTTCAGCAGGGAGTCACTGTGTCTGAAGCCACATGCGTAGTAGTAGCGGTATGGACGTGGTATGGACGCACATTGTAGTGAGCATAGTTGATCTGTGGGAACTCCAGGTCAAAGTACTGGAGCAGCTCTTCGTCATAGAGATCCTAGTGTGTACAGAGAAAGTTTAGCACACCCAGAAGAAAGACAGATTTGTCAGGTAGCCATGACAACAAACACATCACCTTTTCTTTTCATCAGCCAGAACACATGCGTCAGAATGCCAGGGGTTAGCATTAGAAGACAGAGTTAGCCTTTTATGGTATGATGACTAAAGGTGTTGCTGGTTCAATTGCGATTGTGCTTAAGTGCTTTGCTTCCCCTCTGAGGGCAACAATCCTGAGTTTGTGGTTCAGCCTAAACAGCAACACCGCCACTTAGTTTGGTATAAAAAGACAGACTATGGTATAAAAATGTAAATACAACATAAACACAAACACACACATACACACCTCTCCACACCCAATGTTGACTGCAGTTGCTTGACAGAAAGGTAGATTGACAAGGTTTTGATCGCTAGGTGTGTCATCAGTCACCTTCAACAGTAGGACGTATCTCCGTGGAAGGTTTCTGCACAGGGAGTTATAAAACTGGCATAGCAGAAAACAGAAACATTAGCCATTGTATCATCATTACGGAATAGATACAATATCAGAAACAGACATTCCAAAACTGTGGTGAGTAGTTGACTCAAAGAGAAAGAAAGACAAAAGTTGAACAGTTTTGAACAAAGCAAGAGAGAGAAAAAGAGAGAGACAGAGAAAGAGAGACAGAGAAGGAGAGAGAGAGAGAGAGAGAGAGCTAGCTATATTTGGTTGTATTTTGCTCAAATAGAGAGGGATGCTATGTTAGCTAGCTGGCTATGGCCAACACTGGAACTCTTCCAAGTCAAGGTAAGCTTTTGGTTTTAGTAATTTATTGCCACCGGGGCCCGACCTGTTTAAATGATAAACTGCTTTCTGACTGTACACTGTACTGCATGATTGTAGCGGATTTACTAACGCGTTAGTTCTATTAGCTATGTTGACTATAACATGACAACGATGTAGGCTGTGTGTAATGGTTAGCGGTCATGATATGAAGGTTTGGCTCTGAACGTTTTGTTCCCCCTGGTCACAGACAGTTGTGTTGTGCACTGAAGTCCACAAGCAAAGGGAAAAGGTGAGATGAGGAGAGCACATAGATAATTGCGAGAAGGAATTATATATACAATGAGCAAAATGATCATGCTATTTTTATGTGGCTGCTATGAAAGTGAACTGTGTGATCAGGGGTGTATTCATTCTGTCAATTCTGTTGAAAAACGTTTCTTAAACGGAAGCAAATGGAACGAAACGGGGATAAACATACCTGAGTTTGTCCAATAGAAACTCTCATTTGCAACTGTTGGACTAATGATTACACCCTTAGATCAGCAAGATGTAGGCAAGAGTGTGTCACTGTCTGTCACCTTGATTCCTCAAAATTCTCTCGAAATGTGCAGCTACGTTGTAAACTTTCATTCATAGGCTAGGTTGTAGCAACCTCATGATGGGTACAAGGAAAATTAGAGTATCATGTAGTAGTCTAAATCTATCAATGTTACATTGAGCTGGGTGAATGGAATGTGAATGACAGTCATCCAATATGCTGTAATAGAAATAAGGCCATGCTCATAAAAACAAATTATAATCCTCCCTCATCTTAAACGGCACCGACCGCCACTATTACATGTGCATATTCGTGAGAGTCTTAGCTTTTCATAGATAGCTTTTAGTAGTTTGTAGCCCAAACCATTCTGATTCTACAAATGTTTTTGTATAAAAGACCCGGCCCGGGCCCCTTCGGGATTCGCCCTTGTCTCACAAACACTGCTCTAGTTCAGCCCTCGTTAATCACACATGGTTGGTATCTATGGATGCAGAAGAAATAGTAAAATCCAATGATACAACCCAGAAGTCTGTAGCTCAAACACACAATGTTTAAATGAGTTAGAAGTCCAAATCACGTTGGCGATACGGACAAATTAACTTAATGTAACACCGAACCACAGTATGTGCGAACAGCATGTTAACGAATCTGTTGCATCTGTTCACAGTGGGCAGGATATCATTGTGACTTGTTCTTATTGATACAGTTTTATAACTACTCATTGGTTGGGATCTAACCAATCTAGTGTATATAATATAGTATATTTGTATGTGTGTATATGTGTAATGTCTGTCTGTGTGTGTGTGTGTGTGTGTGTGTGTGTGTGTGTGTGTGTGTCTGTGTGTGTGTGAGTGTATATCCTGATTTTACACATTTACTGTAACATATGGTTTGGGTCAATAACTTCGCCTGTCTGTCTGTCCACCACATTGAAGATGGTGTCGTCCTGTGGCTCCCAGGTCATGACCTTGTGGAAGCTCTTGCCCTGGATCCTGAACAGCATAAACTTGAGCAGGTCCAGCTTGATGGGCTGCTCTATGAACACCACATACTGTAGTTCTCTGACATTGCTGCAGTCACACAACACACACAGAGACAGAGGTAGAGCTGAGGTTATTATGTGTAGCTAAAAATACTGGCTTCCGACCGGCAGCATACATTATATGCTGGGAGGTAATATATTTACTGTAATTATTAAGGTCTAGATTGAATCCGGACCCCGGACGATCTGCGCTATAGCGCAATTGAAATTTAAAGCCGTAAGAGTTGCCATGTTGTACGAGGCCCCTTCACGGTCATAATGAGGATGGGCTGTGGCTGAGTTCACTGCAATGTACTGAATCCAGTCCACCTATGAACATGAGGACACACATTATCATTATCATCATAGTCATCATCATCATCATCTTCATCATCATCATTATCATTATCGCTGCAAACATCATTATCAACTCAGTCATACACACACAGTTCAAATGCCGAGACTATGAGACCATTGTGCTTTTGAAGTGACAGGTTGGTGCGAAATCTGTAGCCCATCTCTGCTGCGCTGTATCAGCACAATGGACAGTGCCCTACACAGTAAAGCAAGGCCTATTTGGCCATGAATATAGGCTACAAGACAGATAGGGTAATTCACCTATTACAAACAGCCTATGTGAATGCAGCCGTACACATGGCTGTTTTACCAAAATAATGCAAACTAAATGCTGAAAGAAGTAGCCTAGTTTTTCATGCAAAACTAAAATACTGAATAGCAGTTTGGCTTAGAATACCAACAGAACTGTGAATGCGAACAAATGAACGCGAACAGAACAAAACAGCGACCGAATGAATGCAAACAGAACAAAACAGCGACCGAATGAATGCAAACAGAACAAAACAGCGATAAGCCGACTATAGGCCTATAAACAAAATAGCAGATCGATAAAAGCATGACACAATCTATATTTAGGCTAGTTACATTAACAGTAAACAAACACTGTAAACAAAAGGTGAATGCAAATAACCAAAACATAGCCTACAGGCTATTACAGTGAAATGCAGCTATGCACAGCTGTCTTGACAAATAAATGGGCCTATAGGAATGCTTCAAACATGGAAAATCATGCAGCTCATGAGTTCTGCAACACATTGCGATATGGCACAAATTCAACCCACCCATGTAATCAATTAAACAATGCCGGCCTACCATAAACACGGGGGTGGGCTTTTCACGCAGAGCTAGCTGGAGCTCTGCAGCATCATCACATTTCTTAAACCTGTTTTCGCTTTGTCATTATGGGGTATTGTGTGTACATTGATGAGGCTTTTATTTTTATTGAATCCATTTTAGAACAAGGCTGTAACGTAACAAAATGTGGAAAAAAGGAAGGAGTCTGAATACTTTCCGAATGCACTGTATGCTAAAAATGTTTATTCTATTCTACTGAGCGATTACTTTATGTTCGTATTCTAATATTTTATTATTTCTTATTGTTGTTTCACTGTCGAGAAGGAACCTGCTAATAAGCATTTTGTTGGGCAGTGTATCACTGTAAGATCCCCCCTGATTTTCTGTAAAATATGTTCACCTGATAGTGGTCATAGACAATAGCTGTACCTTCTCCTTGGTCTCTAGGCTCTGTGGATCGAGTAGGTCTCTGTGCTGACGTAATAGTCTCACTTGTACTTCATAATGTTCTCACTGGCGTTGTTTGTGGCCTCTGTTAACAAATCCAGTTGTCAGAACAGGAGCATTTTCATTACATTGTGCCAATCAGTGTTACAGTGGGGGAAAAAAGTATTTAGTCAGCCACCAATTGTGCAAGTTCTCCAACTTAAAAAGATGAGAGAGGTCTGTAATTTTCATCATAGGTACACGTCAACTATGACAGACAAAATGAGGAAAAAAAATCCAGAAAATCACATTGTAGGATCTTTTATGAATTTATTTGCAAATTATGGTGGAAAATAAGTATTTGGTCAATAACAAAAGTTTCTTAATACTTTGTTATATACCCTTTGTTGGCAATGACACAGGTCAAACGTTTTCTGTAAGTCTTCACAAGGTTTTCACACACTGTTGCTGGTATTTTGGCCCATTCCTCCATGCAGATCTCCTCTAGAGCAGTGATGTTTTGGGGCTGTCGCTGGGCAACACAGACTTTCAACTCCCTCCAAAGATTTTCTATGTGGTTGAGATCTGGAGACTGGCTAGGCCACTCCAGGACCTTGAAATGCTTTTTACGAAGCCACTCCTTCGTTGCCTTTGGGATCATTGTCATGCTGAAAGACCCAGCCACGTTTCATCTTCAATGCCCTTGCTGATGGAAGGAGGTTTTCACCCAAAATCTCACGATACATGGCCCCATTCATTCTTTCCTTTACACGGATCAGTCGTCCTGGTCCCTTTGCAGAAAAACAGCCCCAAAGCATGATGTTTCCACCCCCATGCTTCACAGTAGGTATGGTGTTCTTTGGATGCAACTCAGCATTCTTTGTCCTCCAAACACGACGAGTTTAGTTTTTACCAAAAAGTTCTATTTTGGTTTCATCAGACCATATGACATTCTCCCAATCCTCTTCTTGATCATCCAAATGCACTCTAGCAAACTTCAGACGGGCCTGGACATGTACTGGCTTAAGCAGGGGGACACGTCTGGCACTGCAGGATTTGAGTCCCTGGCGGCGTAGTGTGTTACTGATGGTAGGCTTTGTTACTTTGGTCCCAGCTCTCTGCAGGTCATTCACTAGGTCCCCCCGTGTGGTTCTGGGATTTTTGCTCACCGTTCTTGTGATCATTTTGACCCCACGGGGTGAGATCTTGCGTGGAGCCCCAGATCGAGGGAGATTATCAGTGGTCTTGTATGTCTTCCATTTCCTAATAATTGCTCCCACAGTTGATTTCTTCAAACCAAGCTGCTTACCTATTGCAGATTCAGTCTTCCCAGCCTGGTGCAGGTCTACAATTTTGTTTCTGGTGTCCTTTGACAGCTCTTTGGTCTTGGCCATAGTGGAGTTTGGAGTGTGACTGTTTGAGGTTGTGGACAGGTGTCTTTTATACTGATAACAAGTTCAAACAGGTGCCATTAATACAGGTAACGAGTGGAGGACAGAGGAGCCTCTTAAAGAAGAAGTTACAGGTCTGTGAGAGCCAGAAATCTTGCTTGTTTGTAGGTGACCAAAGACTTATTTTCCACCATAATTTGCAAATAAATTCATAAAAAATCCTACAGTGTGATTTTCTGGAGAAAAAAAATCTCAATTTTTCTGTCATAGTTGACGTGTACCTATGATGAAAATTACAGGCCTCTCTCATCTTTTTAAGTGGGAGAACTTGCACAATTGGTGGCTGACTAAATACTTTTTTCCCCCACTGTATCTGTTAAGCGTTTTATCTTTCTTAGTGATATTCACATATGAACTAAACTTTCACAAAATGTTGAAGCTTTCCACCATCTTACACTAGCAACACCCTCTGATATTTGTCAATGTTTTTTTGATAAGTAGAGGTCACAATATTCACATGTTAAGGCTAAGCTACAAATCACAGTCATCAAATCACAGTCATTTATCTGTGAACTTTGCTTTCTATAGGGCCACGGACAATCTTTGTGGTGTTACAAAGGTGCTATTTATTTTGTTGAACCTGATCTATCTGTGCTGGTTTACAATCGGTTATGCTTTAGTGCAGCACAATACCTCTGGAGATAAATGTTTTATGCTCTTCTGTTTGACTACACAAACTACACACAAAGCTTTTAAAAGTAAAAAGTGTCTCAATCTCTCTCTCTCTCTCAGGACAAAGGAAGCATGATAGAACCAGGTATAAATGGGGCTTAAAGGCCCAGTGCAGTCAACATTCTGTATTTCTTGTGTTTTACAGTATATCATATTGTACAACAGCTGATGAAACTAATACTGTAAAAGTGTGAAAACATTTGATTAGTGTTATTTCCTGATAGTTAATGGTTGAAAATACAATCTACACAGGACCTTCTAAACTGCAGGTTTGCATGGGCGGGAGTTTCGGCTTTCCATGGTGACATCACCAAGTGATAAATTGTTTGATAGACCAATAACAAAGAGAGATCCAAACCTCTCTGCCAATAACAGCTAGTTTTCAGTTTTCCCCTCCCCACCCAGACCACTCCCAGACAGTCCTAGCAAAATTATTGCTTGAGAATTTTACATTTTTTGTTAAAAAGCTATTTTTTCCCATTTTAATGGTAATATATTACAGTAAGGTGCTTAATTTATATTAATTTAAAAACGGCTGCATTGGGTCTTTAACTCTTCAGGTAGCCCACACAAAAATCTACTCTTTTGATCTCTAAGCATACCTACATACCTTTCCTTTGACCATTATATCATCTTCCCACCATCATATCTGTCATCTCAGCAGTGTCTGTGAGCAAGACAATACATAGAGTCAACAGCACTCACCAAGGCCGCAAGCCACAACCAGAACAATGGGGAACATTGGGGAGAGTGGGGTGAGTAGAGCAATTTTTTTTACATTCAGCATCACTCCATCAAGGGAAATATAGTATTATTTCTAACAAACATATCTACATATATCTCAGGATGTTGTCTATCCCTGGAAATAATCAGAATTAATTTAAACATTACAGTTTTGAAAACATAGCTTGTCCAAAAAAAGTGGTCTCTTGGCACAACTTGAGCTGTGGGACAGGGTAAATTAAGCTGCCTACACATTTCTGTGCTGAATGAAATATTACCATAACCTTTTAAAAACCATGTCTATCTTTATTTTCCAAACACAATTCAACACAATCACACTTTTTTTTAAATCATGTGTATGTTTTTATCTTTTCACACATGCTTAACACCTAACAAACACTTTGCACTTTTTCAAAACACTTTTAGGCCCTGTTGTTAGCTCATATCCCAGCAATAATGCCTTGCATTACGCCTGGGAAGAAAACACTTCAATTTGCTCAACTTGCCATTGGCTCAACCATTGGCTCAACTTACCCCAAGGCAAACATTTGGACTATATTAACCCACACAGCTACAAGGATGAACTTTCATGCTAGGTTTAAAACCTCATGTTGAAGCTTATAGAGATCCCAACTGATGTATAGAACAATCTTACAATGATCTACTTTGGTTTAAATACAAGCATCATGAAACCTCTAACACAATAAATGCATTTGACTTGGTGAAAATCAGTTATTTGGACCTAATTTACTTACCACTTTTTCCATGTGGTTTCTTCCTTCACAGACTCCACGAAATGATGACCTCTTCCTAAATATTTGGTAAAAATGATTAATTTTGTTTATTGTTTCCTAGAAACAAGGGGACCTCAGCTTACCCCACTCTCCCCTACTGCACACAGAGGTACACAACTCTCAAGACACTTAATGGGAATCTTGAATTGGGAAAATAATCAAGCAAAGATGTTCTTACAGTGGTCAGGCATAGCCATGGTTCCAAACTCACACACCACAATGCAACTTTCTCAAAATTACGCATATAGGAGTCGCTGCGCAGGAAGCGGCTGGTGTAGGTCACCTCACCATCAAGGATGTGGAAGCTGTGCATCAAGGCCATGCCATCAAACCAGTGGTTGTAGCTGAGGAAAGAGACAAAGACAAATGGGTTTGTATTTGGTATGTGTGCTCCACATACAAGTATGTCTATGGGCGTAAGGCTGAGTGTCTGTGCATGTGCCTGTGTGCCATGTTCTTTTTGTGTGTGTGTACTGTGCACTGTATGTCTTGAGTGTAAGTGGTTTCTGTCTAGGAAATTCATTCATTTTATTTTATACATGTCTTTGCCAAACTCAAACTTTCCAGGCCCATTCCGCAGGATCCAGGATGGGATGTTCCCCTTGTTCACCGTGGTGATGGGCTCAGGGGTCTCCTCAACAGAACGCACCAGGGGTCCAATACCCTCCAGCCCTGTGACCAAGGGGCATTTCTTCTCCGATGCTGCCATGAAGAGAGAAGATAAATGTTCAAGCTTTCAGATATCACACATCATAGATTACATTTTTACTTGTTTGGCGGGAAAGAGATAGGTAATCAACATACACGGGGTTCGATCTTGCGTTCATATCAACATTTTGTCCTGAAGTCTACACTACTTCAGGTCTCAGTGACTGTGACGTCATTGCACGATGGGTTACATCTGCATGCTACACCACATACACATACACATACACACTGTATCCGATGATCTCACCATTGTCTTCGTATAATTTATTTTGTGCCGCTCATGGCTGGGGTGCAGTGTTTCACCTGGCTTTGCTATAGGACGACACAGACCAACCAGAATTTAAACATAGGCTACTAGAGTGAAGAGTCGGACACCACCATGCCAGTTGTCCTGTTTATGGTTCTACGCACACTGACTGACTGGGATTTAAACAGTATGAGAGAGAGGGGAGTCACTGACGACCTTTGAACTGTGGAACTGTGCTGAGGCCAGCCTCTAACACTGTGGCTGACACTGTCTCTGACACGTCCCGGCTCTGATAAAAACACACACAGATGATTTGTTTGCCTTGTTTTTAACTTGATTACATAGAGATGCCAATTCAATAAAGGCGTATTAACTGCAACTCTGATGAGAGTGCCTTGGTCTTTTTGATTAAAGGGATAATTCGATGAACTCATAGATACCATTTTTATGTCTCTGTGTGCAGTTTGACGGAAGATTAAGGTAGTTTCTGGAGCGATTGATTGCTAGCTGTGGCGCAATGACTGGAAGTCTATGGGATCAGCTAGCATACAGAAACTACCTTCAACTTCCTTCAAACAGCACGCAGAGACATTCAAATGGTATCCATGAGTTCATCTGACACTGGGTAACTAGAAAGAAAGGGCTTAATTGCCAAAATCTCAAACTATCTCTTTAAGTTTAGCCTCCATAAACAACCACACAGGTTTACACTTGAACCACCCCAGTAGAGCTGCTGGTGAACTGTGATTGAACCTTTCACTGACTTTTATGGCTGGTTTATGTCATAGCAATTAACAGGACGTGGATCTTAGAGTAAACAGTCAGTTACTCTACCACAGGCTACATACCTTATCTGGAGGATTAGGCTAGTCGTGATTGAGTAACAAAGTATAATGTCGGTGCAGGAATTATGACACATACACCAGCCACTAGATGACACTACAGTTATAGTTAATTTCAGAACAAACACAAACAGTTTTCCATTACAAACAATACATGATCATTGTAAAGCGTAATTCTTAAAACGTAAAATATACTGTGCAACAACAGGACATAGAGCACTGCAAATTTTTACATTACATTATTTATTTATTTAATTATTATAAACATTCCGAACAAACGATTATGAAACGATTGTCCTTAGAACAACTGAACAAGTGTTGTCTCTTATCCCATAGCTAATGCTAAAGCTTCAGCTTAACAAGCAAAAATGACTTGGGTTCAATAACACCAAGTTGGTTATGGATTTCCTGACACCAGCTGGAATGCGGTTTTAACCAATCAGCATTCAGGATTAGACCCACCCGTTGTATAATGTGTTATAAGTATATGAACAATCATATTCGTGTGGATATCAGATTCTTTGCCAGTAGGCCTATATCACTCCTGTGTATGGATATAATGCCTCATCTAGTGGTTGACAAAGATATTACATTTCTTCTTCTTTCAGAGAAGTTCAACTGATAAAGTTCAGTTTACCACCAGAGACTAAAGCATCACCTAGATCTCCCCTTGTGGGTGGTTCCTCCGAACAGCATGCAAAGCAGCATGGGATGGAAGTCAGTTGAACCTGCCATAGCACTGAATGTTCACACAATGTCTTCTTTGGTTACAACCTTCTGCTTGGGCACGCACACACACACACAGACACACACGCACACACACAGCCTTTGCCATATGTCTAAACCATGAATCAGATGTTTGTGACCCTCTCTCTGGCCTCTTTACCAGAATACCCGATAATAAGTGCTGTAAGAATAAAATGGATATGTCAACAATCATCTTTGAAGTGAAATCCCCCTACCCCAATTTATTAAAACACTGACTGAATAGTATAATATATTAATGTGCATAAAACAAGTTCATGAGGATTTATTTTTCTTCTGTTGTACCCCCCTCTGTTCTTTGCCCTAACCTTTGAAATCAACAGGGGACTTTCATCCATGTCTGACATGCAATAAGCATAATATTTGCATATGTGTAATACTGAAAAATATTTGGCTTGTTAACTGGCGTAATTGGGGTTTATTCTGTAAACTATAGGTTACTCTCTAACTGTCTTACACAACATTGGGACAGGTGCTGAATTCCCATGGATCATATGTAACTGACCGGGCCAATCAAGAGGAGGAACTGGTTGGCTATGGGTTCAGAGACTGTGGCATTGTTCACTCCTTTTCTCAGTACTGAATAGGACTGGACAGGTGAAAGCAATATGTTAGGAACTAGGTGAAGCTCTATTGCTTACAGTTTATATCCAGATTCTAGTGTATCTGAGAAATGCAGAAATACACATTAATTGGTGAAAGGTGAGTGAAAAGTAAGGTGAAGGCCATGTGAAATGTTCTAGGAAACACAACTGTTGTCGCAGTCTGCCAGCAATCTGGATCCAACCATTGGTTGGCAGTTTTCAGTCATTTCTTCTCCTTCATCCACAGCGGTCATGGAGGACCAATGAGAAAGTGTGTGTAATCAAGATGGGCGGGGCGTCCCTGAGGACTAGGGTTTAAAGTAGGATGTGTCATGCTGTCGCCAAGCAGACGACGTATCAATCAACATGATTCCCATTGTTCTGGCCTCAGTGCTCATCGCTAGCGGTAAGTGTCAGCCTCTATGTGCATGTGTGTGGACGTTAGACAGAGACTCCAACTGCAATCCTAGAGAGCTGAAGGGTGTGCAGGCTTTTGCTCTAGCCCAACACTGACACACCTGATTCAACTATTAGTCCAGACTGGCGACTATAATTAGTTAATCAGTTGAATCAGATATTCTTGTGCTGGGCTTTTACAATAACCTGCACTGTAGCCTTCCTGGACCGGAGTTGGTGACTTCTGAGTTAGAGAGAAAGACCTGACCTTGAACTGTCTCTCTGTCTACCCCCCCTAGCCCTCGGGTGCGGCACCCCTCCCATTGAGCCTCTGACCACCCGTGTGGTCAATGGAGTGGACGCCAAGCCCCACAGCTGGCCCTGGCAGGTACACTGACACCCCTATCTCCCTCTCTCCATGTACAATGATTATAATACTGGATTGCATTTATATAGGTCACTTTTTACCACAGGTCGTTCTTCACACATCTTATGTATTTGTATGGATTAACTCATTCTATCCACCCTCAGTCTTTCTCACATTCTCTCTTTTTTCTTTTTTCTTTTTTCTTTCTTTCTTTCTTTCTTTCTTTCTTTCTTTCTTTCTTTCTTTCTTTCTTTCTTTCTTTCTTTCTTTCTTTCTTTCTTTCTTTCTTTCTTTCTTTCTTTCTTTCTTTCTTTCTTTCTTTCTTTCTTTCTTTCTTTCTCTCCAGATCTCTCTGCAGTATGAGAGGGATGGGGAGTGGAGACACACCTGCGGAGGATCTCTGATTGCCACCAACTGGGTCATGACCGCTGCTCACTGTATCAAGTAAGAGAGGCTACACATTCAAATGTACAGGCAAATACACACAGTGCATCCAAAGAACACCTTTGCACACTCACACACACACACACACACACACACACACACACACACACACACACATACACGCACACACACAGGCATAGCTTTCGGCTCATATATGCTGTGACCATTGAGCATTCAACCTTCTACAACCCTCCCAGTCCCAGCCTGTCCTACAGAGTGTTCGTTGGAAAGCACAACCTGGTTGAGACTGAGGAAGGCTCTCAGGCCATCATCCCTGAGAAGCTTGTTGTCCATGAGAAGTGGAACCCCATCTTTGTGGCCTTTGGGTAAGAGTACAGCCCACAAATAGAAAGTCTAGCACAACAAACCTTAAATGGTACACTATGAAAACAGATATTGACAATAAAGGTCTAATGTGTTGCTAAGGGTTGTTTCATAAGCACCAAATGGAAGAAAGCAAAGCTATTTTTTTGGCCTTTACCTAAACAACACTGGATATGCAGAGCATTATGAGTAGCCTTATATACTTGCAGTACATCACAATATAAACTGGTCAGACGTTCAGTGGCATCACCTATCTATCCTTTCCTTCTACAACCCTCCCTCTCTGTTCCTGTCTCTGGTCCTTCAGAAATGACATTGCCCTGATCAAGCTGTCTGAGCATGTGACCCTGACTGACCAGGTTCAGCTTGGCTGTATCCCTGCTGCCAGCACTGTGCTGGACAACCAGTACCCCTGTTACATCACTGGCTGGGGCAGGGTCTACAGTAAGCCACTGTGTGTGTGTGTGTGTGTGTGTGTGTGTGTGTGTGTGTGTGTGTGTGTGTGTGTGTGTGTGTGTGTGTGTGTGTGTGTGTGTGTGTGTGTGTGTGTGTGTGTGTGTGTGTGTGTGTGTGTGTGTGTGTGTGTGCGTGTGTGCGTGCGTACGTATGTTGATCACTTTCATGTGTGTGCCTGTAGGGTAACTAATTGTAGTGTGACATCTGTGTGTGTTTTAGCCGGAGGCCCCATTGCTGATAACCTGCAGCAGGCTCTGATGCCCGTGGTGGATCATGCCACCTGCTCCAAGCCCGACTGGTGGGGCATCGCTCTCAGGACCACCATGGTGTGTGCCGGAGGAGATGGCATTGTCGCTGGCTGCAACGTAAGTGTCTCTGGGGGATGCAAGAGGGAGAGAGAAACAGTGAGAGAGACAGTGAAACAGAGAGTATGTCGTGTGTGTGACATATGTGTTTGTGCATGAGCGTATGTTTGTGTGTGTGTGTGTGTGTGTGTGTGTGTTTGTGTGTGTGCATGTGTGCATGTGAGTGTTTATGTGTTGTGTTGTGTGTGAGAGTGGGGGTGTGAGAGTAACACATTAGTGAATTACGTTCACTCCTCTACATATTTATTTGGGCAGTGAAGCTAAAACTTTTAATTTGGCTCTATACTCCAGCATTTTGTATTTCAGAGGAAATGCTTCAATTGAGGCGACAGTACAGAATGTCACCTTTTAATTGACAGTATTTTCATACCTATCTGTTCTACCGTTTAGAAATGAAAGCACTTTATGCACAGTATCTAGTCCCCCCATTTGAAGGTGTCATAAGTATTTGGACAAATTCACATAGAGTGAATTAAAGTAGTCAAAACATGTAGTATTTGGTCCCATATTCATAGCACGCAATGACTACATCAAGCTTGTGACTACAAACGTGTTAGATGCATTTGCAGTTTGTTTTGGTTGTGTTTCGGATTATGTTGTGCCTCTGTAACTTTCTCACTCATCATTATTCACAATTCATTCATGGTTATCCGTAACCATGGTAGCATCGACATTAACATAGAAGATTTCAGAAACATATTCTATTGTTATTTACAATAAAAGTGACTCCAAAATGACACAATACATTATTTACCATTAGTTATATTGGGCATAACATAATCCAACCAAAACAAAATGCAAATGCATCCAACAAGTTCGTAGTCACAAGCTTGGAATATGGGACTAAATACTACAACCTTTGACTACTTTAATACACTTTAAGTGAATACTTATGACACCTTCAAATAGGGGGACTAGATACATAAAACACTTTCATCTCTGAACTGTAAAACAGATATGTATGAAAATACTCCTCTGTAGCTCAGTTGGGAGAGCATGGCGCTTGTAACGCCAGGGTAGTGGGTTCGACCCCCGGGACCACCCATACGTAAATATATATGCACACATGACTGTAAGTCGCTTTGGATAAAAGCGTCTGCTAAATGGCATATTAAATAAAAGGTTACAATCGGTACTGTCACCTCATATGAAACATTTAATTTAAAATTCAATATGCTTGCATATAGAGACACATTTTTTAGCTTCAGTATCCAAATAAATGTATCTTTGTCTACCCCCCTAGCACTTGGGTGTGGCAACCCTCCCATTGAGCCTCTGGTCACCCATGTGGTCAATGGAGTGGACACCAAGCCCCACATGATTTTAATTTTAATTAAATGTTTCATATCCAAATAAATCCATAGGGGAGTGTATACAATGGGTATCATAAGTATTCACCCCCCTTGGATTTTTTCAAATTTTGTTGATTTACAAAGTGGCATTGAAATAGATTAAATGTGATGTAATTGATCTACACAAAATACTCCATAATGTCAAAGTGAAAGAACATTTTACAAATGTTTACCAATTAATAGAAATTGAACAACTAAAATATAGTCATTGCATAATATTCACCCACTTTGTTTAAATAATGACCTAAATGACAGAGTGAAAATAATAATTAAAATATACAAAATACAAATATTCCAAAATATGCATATTGTATGCAATAAGGCACTAAAGTAATACTGCAAAAATACATGGCAAAGGAATATGCCTAAATGCAAAGTTGTATCTTTGGGGCAAATCCAACACATCACTGAGTAACTGCCTTCTTATTTTCAAGCATGGTGGTGGCTACATCATGGTATGGGTATGCTTGACATCGGCAAAGACTGGGGAGTTTTTCAGGATAAAAAGAAACAGGATGGAGCTCAGCACAGGCAAAATCCTAGAGGAAAACCTGCTTCAGTCTGCTTTACACCAGACACTGGGAGAGTAATTCACCTTTCAGCAGGACAATAACCAAATCTATTTTGGAGTTGCTTACCAAGAAGACAGTGAATTGCCAAGTTACAGTTTTGACTTAAATCTGCTTGAAAATAGACTTGAAAATTGCTGTCTAGCCATGATCCCCAACACCTTGACAGAGCTTGAAGAATTGTGAAAAGAATACAGTGGCTTGCGAAAGTATTCACCCCCTTTGGCATTCTTGGGGTGAAGAGAGGTGTTGGGTTTGCGCTAGACATAGCGTTTCCTTGATGGCCAAAAAGCTAAATTTTAGTCTCATCTAACCAGAGTACCTTCTTCCATATGTTTGGCGAGTCTCCCACATGGCTTTTGGCGAACACCAAACGTGTTTGCTTATTTTTTTCTTTAAGCAATGGCTTTTTTCTGGCCACTCTTCCGTAAAGCCCAGCTCTGTGGAGTGTACGGCTTAAAGTGGTCCTATGGACAGATACTCCAATCTCCGCAGTGGAGCTTTCAGGGTTATCTTTGGTCTCTTTGTTGCCTCTCTGATTAATGCCCTCCTTGCCTGGTCCGTGAGGTTTGGTGGGCGGCCCTTTCTTGGCAGGTTTGTTGAGGTGGCATTTTCTTTCAATTTTTAATAATGGATTTAATGGTGCTCCATGGGATGTTCAAAGTTTTTGATCTTTTTTTATAACCCAACCCTGATCTGTACTTCTCCACAACTTTGTCCCTGACCTGTTTGGAGAGCTCCTTGGTCTTCATGGTGCCGCTTGGTTGGTGGTGCCCCTTGCTTAGTGGTGTTGCAGACTCTGGGGCCTTTCAGAACAAGTGTATATATACTGAGATAATGTGACAGATCATGTGACACCACTTTTCCGTTATGAATTTTTTCAAATTTTTGGAAACAAGTTATTTTTTTCATTTCACTTCACCAATTTTGACTATTTTGTGTATGTCCATTACATGAAATCCAAATAAAAATCAATTTAAATTACAGGTTGTAATGCAACAAAATAGGAAAAACGGCAAGGGAGATGAAAACTTTTGCAAGGCACTGTAATGGGCAAATATTGCACAATCCAGATGTGCAAAGCTCTTAGAGACTTACTCAAGGAGACTCACAGCTGTAATCGCTGCCAAAGGTGTTTCTAACATGTATTGTCTCATGTATTGATTTTTCTTCCATTTACAGAGTATTTTGTGTAGATCATTGACATAAAATGACGAATAAATACATTTTAATCCCACTTTGTAACACAATAAAATGTGAAGAAATCCAAGGGGGGGAATATTTATGCCTTATTGCATGTCTTTGGTTAAGTATTAAAGCCCTTCCCTCCTCTCTTCCTATAGGGTGACTCTGGTGGGCCCCTGAACTGCAAGAACCCAGAGGGAGTTTGGGAGGTCCATGGTATTGCCAGCTTTGTTTCTGGTCTGGGCTGCAACTACGTGAAGAAGCCCACCGTCTTCACCCGCGTCTCCAACTTCAACGACTGGATCGACCAGGTAAAAGGACATGTACACATGACTCACAGAGCTAAGGTTCACACACACGTCATTACAGTGTTAATTAGCATGACATCGGCATTCTGGAAAAACCGTACATCTCAATAAAGTCGACTTTTCAGACATTGCAACAAAAAAAACAGTTTATTTTCACATGGATGTATTAATAGAACGAGGTGTTCAGTCCTAGAGTCATGAAACTTTCACAGAACATGGAGGGGAATGACTTCTTTCAATTTATGTATATATAAAAAATGAAATCACCGAAAGTGAGATACAAGGTTTTTCTAGGATGCTGATGATGAGGGAAAACCTTTGCAGGAAATGTCACCAATGACTTGTCTTGTTCTGTCTGTCTATTTTCTCAGGCTATGATGAGCAACTAAAGTGGAGCAGAATGGGGAATTGAGTACAATAAAGAAGGACTCAGCAAAATGGCTTTGTTATGTATTTTACGTTCATTCTGTAACTTTAGGAATCATTCAATACTCCATGGTTGCCACAAGATGTCCTCAGTAACTCATGATAAAGAGAAAGGATTTCTATAAGATGTTTCCTTTGTTGGAGATATATCTATACATTTATCTTCATACATACTTGATCAATCATTTGGGCATTCCGTTTTTTTCATGCTGTTTACCTAATATTTGCTAATAGGAAAGTTTTGAGACATTCCACTTAAGAATGTGTGAAGATGATATCCTTCTAACAAAATGTGTTAAGAAGAGTAAAATGGAGACCTGTATGTTCACCCCACTTCAGAAAGATAGATCTAGTTCTCCATTTTGTGCTGTTGTACATATTCTGGGAATGGAAGGGTTTCATTCATGGGTGAGCCAGACCAATGTATTCTGCTCTCCATACAGTCTTCCTACATCTTTTGCTTTTGATGTGATTACACTACACAGACTTGGCAGACAGGCTGGGAATGACACAGCCACAGAAGTAGGGCTAAGGAAAATTAAGTTTAAATTAGAATTTACTATCCATTTTTAGTATCCATCTCTCTCTCACTCACACACACACTCGCTTGCTCGTATGTGCACAAACACCCACTCACAGACAAACAGACACACAGACACAGACACAGACACAGACACACACACAGACACAGACACAGACACAGACACACACACACACACACACACACACACAAACATACTTGCTGTGTTTTGACAGGGCAATTTTTGAATGAGGGCAGATTCATTGACAGGCTGGCAGTAGACATGTCATGTCCGATTAGAGCAGGTCACTGTCACACCGACTGTGTGTGTGTGTGTGTGCATGCCCGTGCATGGACACGTGCATAAAGTACATTGAATTTCTCATTATCTTAGTGTATGGTTTCTCAGTGTCTATGAGTGCACATAATAGTTTTTAACATATTTTGAAGCTACACATCAAGGGGTCAATTCAAGTCAGTCAATTCAAGAAGTCAACTGAAATTCCAATTAAATAATTGAAACTTCAGTTACTTTTCAATAAACAATAGATTAAGCTAAACTGTTTATGTGTAAACAAGCGTTATGCTCTTTCACGCTAAGCCCATGCGGAATAAAAAAATTATATTCTATAAGAATATTGGCCTACATCAATAATTCTAATGACCATTGGACAGATCCCAGATTGCACTGTTAAAATAGTTGCTTGAATCTGTTGTTGCTCTGGGGGTCTCTATCAATCTTTCTCTGGGCAGCTTTTGTCTGACGTGGGGTCTGGTCTGAAAAGAGCTTTGTCTCTCTCTGAAAGGAGCACAGGGGGACAGCTTGCCGCCTCGCATAGTAAATGCACAAAGCCCACCTTCCCAATTCGTGCAGCTGCAAGTGTTCTTGCTATATGTGGTTATAAGTTAAAGACAAGTAAGTAGGCTAAGTTGGCTGTTTTAATTTCAAGTGGCAGCATTTTAAAGTCAGGACGTTAAAGCTTTCCCCTATAACGACTCCATAGGGCGTTATATAGCCTATAACGGGACATATGACAGCGTCTTATGATCAAGGCACCACATAGTGTGAGAGAGAAAGCCGTTTATTGGATGTTCTCTATAGCCTACTTAAAATAGCTCAGTTTAACTGAGACTCCTCCATGCCTGAGCAGGGAGCGGGAGGGGAGGGGAGGGAGAGAGAGGGAGTATGCGTGCGACATCACAGTGATCCACATTGACAGTGGCGTCACTACTCTGTCGCCTCGCTCGAATCACCCATCTGCTAACTGGTTGGACCTCGCAGGCTCTCTCTTATTCCAGCAGTGCGCAGTGGACATTGAACCACTACGAACTGTTGAGAAGATTTGCCTGGAACTTGGTGGCAACTGCCTTGTAAAACAATAATAGTGCGCTTTTGTGACTTAACTTTATTCCTGAGGATGCAAGGGAATCCATTGTAGAGTCTGGTCGACTTATGGAGATGTTTGGAGAGGATCTGCGCATATGTTGATTCCGGACAGTGCGATCTGCTGAATGAAGCAGCTACAAGTGAGTGAGTGAGATTGAATTTGTTTTAGTGCCTATTAATCCAAGTTATTGATGATGACTAGAATAGCTATCATTAGAAGAGAACAAGTTGAACAACAGTAGCACAAAACCCTTTTGTTGTCCAAATAGCCATTTCCCAGCCAACTTGCATGTGCAGTAGAAATCTGCTATTTGGAACAGTAGGCCTATATGTAACACACACACACACTCACACACACACACACACACACACACACACACACACACACACACACACACACACACACACACACACACACACACACACACACACACACACACACACACACACACACACACACACACACACACACACACACACATGCACACACAGACTATTATTGTTTGTCCAGAGAACAGAATCTAAGCCACTCATCCACATCCACCCCCACCCCATTCTAACAAACTCTTGTTGTCCACATAGCCATTTCATAACAGTTGGCAGTGGGTTTCACTGTATTGATCATGTCTGGTGGAGAGGGGACCAGCCGATATTGTGCACATTGGACTCACTCATCACTGAAATCAAACTGACATTCCCTCAGTCAAGTTACTTCTGGGGCCTGTTCAGGAGGGTAGAAAATAGATAGAAATGCTTTCTTTAGAACAGATATGAGGAAAGTTTTGCTTCGACCTGAATTTATTTTCTACACCTCAGTCTCTCTTGGTAGCTAGTGTCTAGCTATTGAGACTTGGTTATCCCACGCTTCAAGGCTTTAGCTAACCCGGGTAACTCACCACCAGGCTAGCTACACCAAACTAGCTTTTCTTACCTGGAAGGGTAGAATTGCTAACTCTACTCTCTTATTTAGCTCAACCCACTCAACCCAGTATTGACTGACCCGCACCCGTGGGGGGTGGCAGTGCCGAGAGGGACTGGTTCTACGGGAGGAGACTCCCCTCTCGCACCCTCCCGGGGAAGCAACTCCTCCCAGTGTTCCGAGCTACCGTGGCATTAGCCAAAGGCAACTAGGACAAGCCCTTGTCCAGCAGGCCAAACCAGGCACTTTGTTGGCATGGACATTCAGGGCATGGAGGAGATAGGCCTTGACAAGCCGCTGGTGGTCAAGCCGTCATTGGCTGGCCACCTCTACCCCAGTGCCTCATCTGTAACCGGAACTACTCTCCCTGGTAAGACGGAGCACTTCACCGCCTCCATATTCCAAAAGGTCTACGTGTTTGCGACATGTTCAGTACAGGCATTGAAGCTAAAGTCCCTACTGTTGGCTTACCAGGCCGATTTCCCCTGTGTTTTATATACATGTTTTCACACCATGAGGTTGGAATAATACTGTGAAATTGTGAAAATTATGATAATACCCTTTTAGTGTACGAGAAATTGCTCTTTGCTAAGAAGCTATTTTTGTTTATTTTTTACCATTTTCATTGAAAACAATCACAGTAAGGTACTTAAATGTTACCCAGAAATTATTTGATATGGAGATAAAATCGGCTGCATTGAACCTTCAATCAAAGGCACAGCCAACCAGAACCGATGGGACAAGATCTGTGTCAGTGCAGATCTCAACCTCCAGGCCTCCAGAGGCGCCATCCAAGGTTGTGGGCGCGCCATTAGTCTTCTAGTGGTGGGGGAGAGAGCCTTGTAGCTCAACTTGTCCAGCCTCTCAGACAAGAAAAATACAGATTTCCTTGACACTACTATTGCGCCGAAGGAACCGTTTGGGCCTTCTTCTGCTTGCACGCAGACAAACCGGTCTCCCCCTCTATGAGCCAAGGCTTTGTGGCAGGTAGATGGCAACTCACTGGCACCAGGGTTTTCTATAAAGCAAATCCCCCAGAGACACAGCAGGCTAGAAACCCACAGTTCGGCTCTCCTATCAGAGGCTGACAGTGGGGGAAGTGGTCCTTCGCTGCTACCGAAGCGGGGTCCCGCCCACCTGATTCCCCTGGGGGAATGAAGGGGCATCCGACCTAGGGGTACGTACATCCCCAGCGGCAGAGAGGGGCAGCCAACAGTTCACTGCACTGTCAGTCCACCATTCATGCCTACAGTTTGCCCCGGGGTCAGCGGCAATTACAATTGTCTCGCCTTAGAAGCTTATGGCTTTCCACCCGCCACCCTTCACTTCTACGGAAGAAGAGCGCTTTGCACATTTACTTGGAAAGAACGGGAGCATGGCGTAAAAGTGCCCAACTCTTCATGCCTTGGGGCCCCCCTGCAATGGCTATCCCATTGGATAGTGGAAGGTATTTTATTGGCTTACAATAGCAAGGGTTTACAGCCCACTGAGGGCCCGAGGGCTCATTCTTGGGCACTGTTCAAATGCATCTCTTTACAAGAGATTTGCGAGGTGGCATGTTGGGCCACCCATCATACATTTATGACGTTTTGCAGACTGGATGTCACTGCACCTTCATTGGCGCATACTGTCCTCAGTGTCAGGGTCACTGAGTGGTGATGCTGTTGGGACTACCCTGGCTTCGGAGAGCATGTCTGTGACACGGGAGTTGGACATATCCCATTGTGAGACATGTTACTTGCGTAGTTCTATGATAATATGAGTGAGATGTCTCACCGCATTTCCCTGCTCGCAAGAATGCAAGGAAGAGGCATGCTTGAGAATGACCAGTGGTCTGGCGAGTGGCGCCTTATAAGGAGGAGAGGGGCTCACCATATTCGCAACTTGACCGATCTGTCTCCAACAGACGTTGTGTGATTGGTTCTTCGAGCTGTCAGTGATCCGCTGAGCAAATCGCATTGTGAGACATCTCACTCATATTATCATAGAACCGAGGTTACACAAGTAACCCTAAGATATCTTGATGCAAACCATTTCGCTTTACATATGTTGCACAAAATCATGAAATGACTCCTTTAAATTATGATCTCCAATGTCAATGTAAATGGCCATTTCAACTTGATGCTCTCTCCTCGCCTCTCTTTGATACCCTGTGGTCTCATTTCCCCTCGCATCAGTAATAGAGTTCTACAGAACATTCTAGAGCTGGCAGAGAGCTGAGAGGGGAATTGTGCTGAAAATGAGTCTAGTGCTTGCCTGGATCTCACGTGGCCTGATGCCACAGTCAAGAAACCAAACCAATTCCCGTTGGTATAATATCAACTCTATTACTCAAAGTCAGTCAAGTGCATCATTGCCATAACCCTTATTAGGAACTATACCTGTCTTGATTTGGATTGGTTAAGAGTGGCAGGGAGAGTGGAGAGAAGTTTGAAATTAGTTTTCAACAGCAGTGTGTCTCTCCATTTGCCTCAATCTGTCTTTGCATGGGGAAATGTGTGTAATTGGAATTATATTCACTGAAACAGACACTATCCAACTCACTCAGTCACACACGTACAGGCCCAGGTTGATATCAACACATCCACAAACCTGCAACTAAACACACACTCATAAGGTCTACTTCACAAACAGATTTGAATTTGCAATTAGATTACATCTATAATATATGTTGATAACATTTGGAAATGTTTTAAGTATAATGCACTCCTAAGAACAGTGCTGTCAATGTATGAGGCCAGTTCAGTGGTCTATCAGTGGAAACAGCGCCACTGTTCGCCCCACCACCTTTGTTATTGTTTTTGTTTCGTGGATGTAACAGAGGAGAAACGGAGGAGAGGAGCTT